GACATCACGGAGCTCGCTCGTGTCGCGTTCGAGCGCACCAAGACAGCGCGAGAAGCGATTCAACTCATGGGCGACTTGGCCGTGCAATACGGCTACTACGGCGCCGAGTGGGAAGGCGACGGCGTGTACGTCGAAGCGGGCGAGGCGCTGACTGTCACGGATACGAAGGAAGGGTGGGTGTTCCACATCTTGCCGGACGACACGGGGGCGTCCGCGGTGTGGGTCGCGCAGCGTGTGCCCGACACGCACATCGTCGCGATCGGCAACCAATTCATCATCCATCAAGTCAACCTGACCGACACAGCCAACTTCCTTGGCTCGAAAAACTTGTACGACGTGGCCAAGCGCAATAACTTTTGGGACGGCAAGGCCGAGTTCGATTTCACGGCCGTGTACGCCCACCGCCGAGAGGGCGAGTCGTACTACTACTCGACGCGCCGCCAGTGGCGCGTGTTTACGTTGGCGAACCCTGGCTTGAACTTGAGTCCGTACACGGATCCATTCGGCACAACGTATCCATTCTCTGTCGAGGTAGTCATCGCTTCTCGGTCGTGGTCGAGGGAATCACTAGCATGTGTCGGCAGACGGCGGGGCTCCTGGATCCGTCCGACATCATGCGATTCCAGCGCGATCACTACGAGAACACTACGTTCGACTTGACGCAAGGCCGCGAGTCTGGCCCTTACGGCAATCCTGACCGCTACTGCACGTCTTGCATGCGCTCGGTCGCGATGGAGCTGACTTGAGTGTGTGTGTAGCCGTGGGCGAGAATGCGTTTGCGCCGGGGACACGAGGGAAGGGTGGATTCTTTGAGCGAGCCATCTCGCTGTACCGGACGTCGTACTCGTACGTGACTGTAGCCAACCCCAACAACTCCAACCTGGGTCTCCTTTGGTAAGAATCGTCTCGCAGCCGAGCTTGGTCTGACCTTGATAGGTTTGGCCCATACGCGCCCCACGCCACGTCCTACATGCCGATCTACACCAAAGTGAGCGAGGTCCCCGCTTTGACCAACCACGGCACCCTCCTCCGCTTCGACTTTAACGTGTCTTTCTGGCTCAACGCCCTCATCGGCAACTACGCCGGACACTACTACAAACACGCGATGCCAGCGGTCTCGGCGGTACAGCTCGCTGTCGAGAAGCAGGCTGCCACCGGTGCGACCTGATCGTTGAAGCCGTCGACGTGATCTCTGTCCCAACGTAGCTCAAGCCGACGTCCAAGCCAAGGCCGTGTCGATCTTGGCGACCGACGGCGAAGCGGCCATGGTCGCCCACCTGACCGCGAGCAGCGACAAGTTTGCCAAGGCGGCCCACGACGCGTTCTACGCGCTGTTCCTGGACGTCGTGACGAGGTTCCACGACGGGTCGATCTTTTCCGACTTTGCGGCTGAAACGATGCGCGTGACAGCGATGGGGTATCCGAGTTGGTGGCTGAAAGAGGTGGGGTACTATGGCCCCGAGAACGCTGCAGGGACGGGAGCGTTCGTGTTGGGCGTGGTTACGGCGGCCGCGCTGAGCGTGGGTCTGGGCTTTTGGTTGGGCCGCCGCACGACCAAGGCCAAGGGCTATGCCTTCATCAAGTAGAGTCGGCAGGAATAAG